CCAGCGGAAAGAAGGGACACCGTCAAAAGGTATTAGTCAACTTGGCTTTAGTTAAGGGTGAAGAAAGCTTATGATGCAATGATGATAATTTATATTTTATAATCAGCACTGGAATTACTGCTGTGATATGATTGCCGTTAGATGAGTTTGTTCCCTAGAGCTGTGTTTATGGGTCATTTGTGTTGTGTTGTAGGTCATTAAGTACTGGCCGTCTCTCAGATAAGCTGCTGAAGGCTGTGTTTGGACATCAGTTTGACAGGAGCAGCTGTGAGAGCTTAAATTCAGAGAAACCCATGGACACAACAGGTAGAGCTCTTTCTTTTCTTTTATTTATTTTTATGTTATGCAGTAATCACAAATGATTAGAATGGTTATTGAAATGTTGTGGAAATTCATTGATATGTTTTCTTTATATCTGCAGTTAGTCATAGATAATGTTTTTAAAATCCCATGCTGTTTAAAATGGCATTGCGTCCTGATCTCTCTAGCACCCCCTGGTGTCAGTGATGGCACAGAGCCAGGCTCAGGCAGTCCTGCTGGAGTTGGGTTCATGCTGGGCTCTCCTGAATATGGACACACACCTCCTCACGCCACTCGACTTAGACGCTTCTCAGGTGACACTTCCATTATTTTACTTTATGACATTGAAACACAAGTATTATATTTGCATGTTATTGTATCTGTTGTACTCACAATGTATCTTCAATTCACCACATTTGCTGTTGAAGTGGGCACTCCCAGCCCAACAAGCCCTGGCTGGACCTACGGTCATTTGCACGAGGCTTACAGCTCGCCTGATAGTCTGCGATATGGTTACACAGATGCCATGGCAACAAACCTATGTGAGGGTGTGGCCTTTGTGCCACCTGAACTGCCAGAGGAGACGCTCATGGAGGTAAAATAATTGGGCTATACATTATGTATGAAGGATACAGTCATTTAGACTGTCAGCCAGATAGTTATCATCTTAAAATAAAGGATGACTAAGATGGTCTTGCATCATCCGTGAGGGGTTTATTTTTTGATAATAACTGACATTATCTTTTATCAAATAAATAGTGACATTAATGTGACATATTCATTTTTAGATTAATTAATTGTGTCATGTGAGAAGATGGAGATGATATGAGAGACATTAATCTAGCACAAATATGTAGAAAATCAATTGCAGGGGTTAGCGGTCAATTATAGAGTCATTATGCAAAAACACACTACTGTTTAGGGTTGATAAGATTTCATGATTTTGAAATAAGTCTCTTATGCTCATCAAAACTGCATTTATTTAATCAAAAATACAGCAAAAGTGATACAATTGTGAAATATCTTTACAGTTTGAAATAACCGTTTTCTATCTGAATTTATTTAAAATGTCATTTATTCCTGTGATGACAAAGCTACATTTTCAGCATCATTACTCCAGTCTTCAGTGTCACATGATCCTTCAGAAATCATTACAATATGCTGATTTGCTGCTCAAGAAACATTTCTTATTATTGACAATGTTAAAAACAGTTGAGCTGCTTAATATTTTTGTGGAATCTGTGATACATTTTTCTAAAGATTATGTGATTAAAGAATGTTTAAAAGAACACTTTTGTAACATTATAAATGTATTTACTGACATGTTTAATCTGTTTTAATGCATTATTGCTGAATAAAAGTACTAATTAATAAAAAAAAAAAACTTCTGACCCCAAACTTTGGAAGTTGTAGTGTATATGACCATAGAATTTCATTATTGACCAATCAGAACTGAGTATACTAGAGAGCAAGTTATTTTACCTGGTATTATGTGTTTTATTGAAAGTTAATTTCAGAATGTGATGTCTACCTCTTCTTCACCACAGGAGGGGCATACAGACTTGCTGAGCCAACTGCGCTTTATTTTAGCCTTTGCCCACTGCATCACAGAGGTTGCTGGAACAAAGGACAGTGGGATTGAAAGGAATATGGCACTTGATGCTTCTTTCTTAGAGCAGAGCGTGGTGGTGGCCGACCAAATCAGCTTGCTGAGCCGTGAGTGGAGGTGAGACACATACATAAACAAACACACACACGTTTTATGTGTGAAGTCTGTGATATGTACACTATACACTGTGAGTGATGTGCACATGTGAATGTAGCTCTGCAGAGCAGCTGGTCCTCTATATGAAGTGTGCTGAGCTGCTGTCCTCTGCGCTTCACACAGCGATGGCTGGGATCAAAGAAGGCACACTCTACCCATCAGGATCTGTTAAACAAGGCAAGTCATAGAAAGTTAGAAAACTAGAAACAGTCTTTATATAAAATAGAAATCTTTTGAACCATTGTAAATGTTGCATACGATCAATCAAAAATTGCATATACTGTAATTAAGACATTCATTTTATGTCATGTTATGTACTTGCAGTAGTACGTAAGCTGAACGAGATGTATAAGAAGAGTGTGAACTCCTGCCGTTCTCTCACTGAGAAACTCCAGCTCTTCTTCAGCAGCAAACAAAGACTGATGGACCGCATCAACAGCATTACTGCTGAGAGACTCATCTACACACACACCATTCAGATGGTATGAACATATACGCATTGTGTTTCTTATAATATGAGGAGAAACATATGAGTATAATACGGAGTGTGAATTGTGTTACTTTCTTATGTGATAAGGTACAGACAGCAGCACTGGACGAGATGTTTCATCACGGAGAAACCTCTGTGGAGCGATACCATAAGGCCTTACTGCTGATGGAGGGTCTGTCCTTAATTATTACAGAGACTGCAGATCTAAACAATATCAACAAATGTAAGTATGACACGCATAGACTACCGTTCAAAAGTTTGGGGAAAGAAATTAATCCATGCATTAATATGATCAAAAGTGACATTCAAAAGACATTTATGATATTACAAAAGATTTCTATTTCAAATATAGATAGATAGATAGATAGTAGTGGCTGCTGAAAATTCAGCTTTTCTGTCACAGGAACACATTTTAAAATATATTCAAATATAAAACAGTTATTTTAAATTGTAAAAAATAATTATGACTCATCTCTGAGTTTGTCTGTCTGTTCTGTGTCTGTAGGTAAACAGTGTATTGAGCAGCGGCTCTCCTCCCTCCAGCCCAAAGGATGTGTGTGATGAACACTTGTTTTTGCTCTGCATCAAACCCACAACATCTACATCTCATTTCATCCCAGCCGCCATTTGAAATTCTGTTTGAGGAAAAACTCGCACTCACCCACTCATTAAAAATGTGATACTTGGCTTCCAAAGCCCAAAAAAAAGGTGAGAAAATACTTTTCATAATAGACAGAGATTAAATCTCTATTGATATTTGTATATATAAACAAAAGCAACATCCGCAGACATAAACATCTATTTTGTTCACTGTAAAAGCATATTGAGTGAATCAAGACGGCATCATTGGTTGAATAGATGTCATGTTTAAATGCTTTGACCTCTGAATCTACACCAACGCATGATGGCACTTCCTCAGAGATTAAGTTAATCTTAGCACTACAATGTTAAAGCCAGTGTTGGAGTCTGAATGAGTAACAGCTTGGATGCTTTTCATTCTATCGCACTAAAACATGCCTGTAGCATTAGTCTCATGAAGTTACATGGAATGATTCTGTTTTTGATGGACTTATTGTGCATGTTTTTGCATGATTCGGAGGAAATGATAGTTATCTGCTGTATCTGAAGGGAATTCATAATAATGACTTATAATTAAACCTCTGTGGTCACCAAACCGTTGTTGAAATAACAGCCGGTGGTGGATGTGTAGCATTCAGTGTTACATCTCCAAGACTCTAATGTGGCAATTGACCAAAATTGTGGCAAACCTTTGTAGACCTACTGATAAAGACTGTCAGTTTCATATGTTGTCATATGAGGTTGGAAAAAAAAATACTTGAGATTTGTATTATATTGACAATCATACTGTTATTCATGTGTGTGTGATACAGTGAAGCACTTTATAAACCCATTTGCCTTCTGGATGCCTGAAAAGAACCACTGCAGAGACAAGCCTAATGGCTCATTTCGGGTTAATTAACACCTGAAAGTCAAAAGGAAATGCAATACAAAGACAGTCAGTATCTTGTGTGTAGCATTTTATATTTATCTGTTTTAGCTGTCAGTCTGAAAGTGGTTTTAGTTTTCAGTTTGCTTTAGAATCTATTGCAAGTAAAGGACTTTTGCACAGCTTGCTGGGATGACTAGGTCTTTAGTTTTTGTAGTGATTTGAGAGTGCCTTAAATGACCTAGCTTGTTTAATCTCACGGGACACTCAGAGAGTTACAATCTGTTATACTTCCAGCGTTTCATGTCATATTCATTACTTGCACTATTTTTTTGCATTTTCCAGAGTGGCAATAACTCTAAAGGTGTTTTTAACTTAAATGATCATTTTTAAAAGGTTTTTTAGTCAGAATTGTGTAGAATGATTGATGAATGTGCACGAACATGTTAAATTGAGAACGATTGACTATTTGTATATGTTGTTGTTACAGTATTTATGTGTTTTCTGGTGTTTTTGTCTTTTTATTTCCATTCGCAAAGTCTAAATGAAATATATGTGCAGAATGCATGTGGTATGGGTGTGTGTAATTGAATAAATTTCACTTTTATATTTACTTTGTGTATGTTGATTAATTTCGAAATATGCTATGAAAAGTCTGGTCTTTAAACAGTTACTGGAACTGGGGGTCTAGAAATAACCTGGTGAAAATGTTAAAAGATTTTACGTTGCCAATATTTTAGGGTATTAAAATGTGTGTTTTAGGGCTAATTCATATGGATAAATTACATATAATTTCGTATAAATGATGAGAATAATAAATTCTCATAATGCATGCAGAGCAGTAGCTCATGCTGCAGCCAAAGGGTGCAGCGCTGCAAGAAAACGAAGGGAAGCTAAACCTATGCTAGTCCCGCCCTCACATACCTTACGCTTTCTTTCTGTGACGCGATTGGACAAGAGCCCGTCAGTCAAGTAAACGTCACGCTCTGAGTCGAGTGTTTCCGGGTATTCCGAGAAGAAAGAAAAAAAAATCGGTCTATCGCCATGTTTCTCAGAGAAATATCTGTCAAACGCCTGTATCAGTTTAGTTGAGCGTTGTGTTTGTGAGAGTGGAAACACTGGTGTTTTGTCACTTAGACTCAAGCTAGAGCTACAGTGGATGGTCGGAGCGCGGGACGGTGATTTTACAGTAAGTGGCGTGTGTTTAGCAGGCGAGCTAATGCTCAGCGAGCGGAAACTCAAACATATTCTTCTCTGCATGTTCGCATAGGCTACACCACTACATATACTTAAAGAATACACACACGTATGTTAAACGTGTTCTCACTGGATACGAGGAGCTAGGTGTCGATAAGCGGAGAGTGGGTGGGTTTGTTAGCAGTAGCAGGCTGTGGCTCACTATGTCAGTCAGCCTTTAGAGCAGAGAGGGCTTTACTAATAGTAAACACCGTGTTGTCAGTTCCACAGTGGGGGTTATTCCCTTCTAAAAGGTAGTAAGGTTACTGCGTCCCCTCCGAAGATAACATAATTACTAATGTAAAACCTTAAAAAGTTAACGGCGTCTGATTCAAACAGAGTAACGTAGGAATCTGTCAGAGGTTTTTCTATTACGTCGTTTCATTTTTTTTGTTGACAGTGGCAACATATACTTTTAATGTAATAACAGCACCTGTAGTAATTGTAATTTGTTTAGCTAAAGCCTTTGTTAGCATGGTGAATGTCTGTGAGAGGTGGAATAGATGACAGTCAATAGCTAATCGATACAGTATTGGTTGTACTGAACGGTCACGTCAATGTTTAAAAATAGCTTTACACAAAATCTTTGTTAATGTTTATAATATTTTAATATATTCACGCCTTGTGGTGGCATTTAGAGGATTTGTGCAGGCGATAATATATTTACATTTTGCGACAGTATAAACAATCAAGCTGATATTTGTTGAATTGTCAGTATACTGTATGTGTAGATATTTGTTTTACATTGATTTGTGAATATTGTGACGTTGTTGCTTTAGATTGGAATAGATTTGCGTAGTTTCTACGATCAAACCCTTGTCCTTATAATAAGTCCAGTGCCTTGCGAAAGTATTCTTACCCCTTCGTTTTTTTTCACGTTTTGTTATGTTGCTGCCTTATGTTAAATTGCTTTAAATTACGTTTTTTTCCCACATCAATCTACACTCCATACACCATGATGGTAAAGCAAAAAAAAAGGTTTTTAACATATTTGCAAATTTATTTAAAATAAAAAACTTAAGTGATTCCATTGCATAAGTACTCATACCCTTATCTGGGACAGTTGCAATTTAGCTCAGGAGCATTCCTATTAGGGCTGCACAATAAACTGAATTGGAAATTCGACAGAAGCTGCGATTGTCATGCATAACTTTAAGTGAAGCAAGGTTCTGTGATCAGCAGTAAATATCCATCCAAAGGCCGGAGGGCGCTCTCGCGCTGAAACTCCAGATACGCCTCGCAGAAGAAACCCAGAAAATGCTCTGCAGCTGAATAAACAGAAGATTCAACTGCTTTCATTGATTCAACGTGGCTAATAAACACACGACTATGGCAATATACGGTTTATCGGAGTTCTTATTATTATAATTTTCATTAAAATAAAGTATATTTATAATGCAATGCCTTTATCACTGCATAAATACTATGAAATATGTTGCGTGCCTTATTCTGTGTAAGAAGCCACATCATCTCACAGAAGGATTTATATCAAACACTCGACTGACGTTATGAAGCGAGTTTGGAGTAAAAATATGTTATTAAATGTGGTATTTTCACATGCTTTCAGATGGAGCAGCATTTACTTCACAGAGCCGTAGCTCACTGAGAAGCTATGCAAACAGCTGTCAGTATCGCGAACGATTTCTTCGATTTCATTATCGCGCAATAAAATTGTCAGCGAATTTTTTTATTTTTTTTTATTTTTTTTTTTTTGCTTAACTTGTCAGTGAACTACGGCTATGTGTAGTAAATGCTGCTCCATCTGAAAGCATGTGATGATGATTTCCTGCTGATTACAGAACCGGCTTTACTATCAAAATGCGCATGACAATCGCATTCGATTAATCGTGCAGCCCTAATTCCTATTGCTTGTAGATGTTACTACACTTCGAGTGAAGTTAACCTGTGGTAAATTAACCACAATGGGTATGATTTGGAAAGGCACACACATCTTAATAAAAGGTCTAACAGCTAATAATGCATAGCACAAACTAAGAAAAGTAAAACCAAACTATGTGGCAATAATTAAGACCAAACTGAATATGGTGTGTGTCAGCAATGTTGTCTCGGCGGGGCGTTATGGAGGTGGGGCTTTTATTATCGTATATCGCGATATTTTTATAGGCGATTATCGATAAGATATTTTTGACATATCACCCAGCCCTAATTTATATCAGAGAAAAAAACCAAGCCTGAGGTCAAAAGAACTGCCTGTAGAGCTCAGAAACAGAATTGCATCAAGCCACACATCTGTGGAAGAGTTCGGAAAAAATTCTGCTGCATTGAAGGGTCACAGAAGCATGTAGTCTCTGTTACCCTTAATAGAAGGAGTTTGAAACAACCGGGACTCTTCCTAGAGCTGGCCTCCTGGCCAAACTGAGCAAATGATGGAGAAGGGCCTTGTCTAGACTGGTGAACAAGAGGCTGATGGTCACTCTAGTTGAGCTCCATGTAGGGCTGTGCAAATAATCGAATACGATTTTCATGCGCATCTCGTCAGTAAAGCCAGTTCTGCGATTAGTAGTAAATCTCCAGCATGTGCGTTCAGATGGAGCGGCATTTACTACACAGAGCCATAGTTCACTGACAAGCTACACAATATCGCGTTCAAAATCACAGGTGTTTGATTGATCCTCTATATATGAGGATGAAAATCTTTCATGCATCAAAATGTTCATAAAGAAATTGTAAAAGTAATATATAATAATTTGAAGAGGCAGTCGCTTTATAATGATGAATAGATTTACTTACAGCTTTTATTCAGATATAAACATTGATCAACACATAGCATATACATACAGCACATCAAATATGGTAAACAGAAGCTCAAACATGCTTGCATGACCTTTGAGAACAAACCTCATTGTTTCTTAGGCATCCATCTTGCCATATTTAAAGAACGTTTTGGAACAGTGAACTTTCAATGGAGCTACAGAAGTCTCTCAGGTTTCATTAAAAATATCTTCATTTGTGTTTTGAAGATCTGAAAAAAAGTTATTCCGGTTTGAAATGACATAAGAGTAGGTAAATTAATTTTCATTTTGTGCACATTATTCCTTTAATTGGCCTGAGCTATATATTGGTCTGTCTCCACAAATTATTAATGACTTTTTCCATGGAGGTTTAGTATGAATTTCTATATCTTTGTCTAACCGAAATATATTTGCATGGTAGAAATATTGCACTGTTGTCTCCCCACAGAGTGTCTTTTAATACAGTTGAAGTGGCACGCAATGCACCATGGAGGAGGCCCACCAAAAGTGCAGAGGAACCTTCAGAGATCCAAGTCCTTCACTGGATCTGAGGCAGAAGACCAACTGCAGCAGCAACAACCACCACAGCAGCCCAAACAAAAACAGCAGCAGCCCATGTCGGTTACCCAACAACAGCCAGCAAATGCCAATCACCCCCAGTCACCGGTGACATCTTTTGCTCCGTCCGCCAGTCCCTCTGCTCCACAGTCTCCCAATTACCAAATCATCATGAGTCGGAGTCCGGTCACAGGCCAGAACATGAACATCACTTTACAGAATGTGGGACCAATGGTTCCTGGGAGCCAGCAGATCACCCTTGCCTCTCTTCCTCTCCAGAGCCCAGCATCCCCTGGCTTTCAGCACCAGCCCCAGCAGTGGAGGTTCGAATCCGGGTCTTCGTCTTATGTGGTGACATCACCCTTGCCCCAGACGATGCAGCCTCAAAGTCCGACCCAGCACAGTCCGGTCCCCATACAGGCTGTGCCCAGGCCGAGTGCTCCTGGGTCGGCTCTGGGAGTGTGCAATCAGAGCCCGACGCGGTTTGTGGAAGGAGGTATAATGGTTAGGCAAATCAACTTGAGCAGCCCACCTGGAAGTGGTCATTTTGTGTACCAGGATGGAACAGGATTGGCTCAACTGGCTCCGACAACGGCAGGTGCCGTTCAGCTGACCTCACCTGGGACACCAGGGGGTGTCAGAGAAAGACGCCTGTCCCAGCCTCACTCTCAAACCGGGGGCACCATTCACCATTTGGGGCCGCAGAGCCCTGTTGCGGCAGGGGCTGCTCTCCCGACGTTGGGCAGCCCTGGGCACATCACCACCTCCAATCTGCCTCCTCAGATCAGTAGTATCATCCAAGGCCAATTAGCTCGTCCCATGATTTTTGAGAAGACGGCGCAAGGCATTGTGGCTGGTGTAGCGGCCTCTTTTGGGGTCACATCCACCATCCCTCCATCCAGCCCATCCAGGAGCAACCCTCCCCAGGGCTTCACCAACCAGTCCCTGACTCCCACCAGCATAAAGAAGATGCAGCCGAAGAAACTGGAGGAGATTGCACCCTCAAATCCAGAAGTGGCGCAGTTGAGGAAGCAGTTTCTGGAGCATCATGCAAAGAAGATGGAGAGTCTGAAGGAGGTGTTCAAGGATTACCTGATTGAGCTCTTTTTCCTGCAGCATCTGCAAGGAAACATGATGGACTACCTTGCTTTCAAGAAAAAGCCCTGTGTGCCTCTCTTCACCTACCTGAGGCAAAATGATCTTGACCTTGAAGATGAAGAGGAGGAGGAAGAGCAGTCTGAGGTCATCAATGATGAGGTAAAAAATGTGTTTGGCTCTTACCTACAATATGTTTTCAAATATGCCAAAGTTAAATTTTCAGCAGCCGTAATAGCGGTCTTCAGTGGCACATGACTCTTCATAAATCATTATTATTTGCAAATTTGCTGCTCAAGGAAAACATTTCTTATTATCAGTGTTGAAAACAGATGTGCTGCTTCATATTTTTTTTAGGGTTCTTTTGATAATTTTTTTTATTTATGAATAAAAATATAAATCTTAATATATATATGTGTGTATAAAAGTGTATGTGTACATGTATGTATGTATGCATGTGTGTATGTATGTGTATATATATATATATATATATATATATATATATATATATATATACTGTATATACACACATCCCTTTACTGTCACCTTTTATAAATTTGCATCCTTGGTGAATAAAAGTATTAATTAGTATTAAAAGTATTGATTTCTTTAATTCTTTAAAATCCCCCCCATAAAAAAAATCTAAATATATATATAAATTCAGAAATTAATATATTTTTAAGTGATTAGATCTAATCATCATGTGATGTCTTTGTGACCCATGAAACAATTTTTTTTTTGTATGGAACTCTTGCTCTCTTTTTCATTTGTAAATATCAAGATGTATTTTTCTCTGGCTTTGTATCTTTCATCTGTTTCTATGACAACCTCTCAGGTGAAAGTAGTGACTGGAAAGGATGGACAGACGGTGACTCCTGTTGCTATAGCTACACAACTCCCACCCAACGTGTCTGCAGCGTTCTCTGCTCAGCAGCTGTTCCAGGTGATGGAGACTTCCTTAGTAGAAATGTGAAGGAGGAATCATTCAAAACATTTCCAAAATGTTAACATTCAGTATGATAGTGCTTTGATTATGTGGTTTGACAGAATTGTGACCTTAGTCATAATCAGGCAAGCTTTAGTTAAGGTCACCAGTACTGTTTTTTCTGTGTGTTAATGAGACTTTCACTTTGGTTTGTTTTCGGTCTCATAGACCCATGCTGGGGTGGCAGGTGGCAGCATCTCGAACCCTGTGGACATGGAAGCTTTCAAACGGCAGCAGGCCATGGCACAAGCAGGTAGGGTGACGTCGACGCAGGGCAAAGGTGGAAGCCTGTTTTGTTTTCATTTGTTTCTTTATTCCCCCTTTTGTTTTCTGCTTTTCTGTTTGCTGCTCTTCCTTTTTATTTCTCCCCTTCCAATTCGCTTCTGCTTACTCCGTATTCCAGCATCTTTTCCCAGCTCTGTGTTTGAAGCCTGTAATCCAGAAAACGGGGAGTGGAGCTTCCCAACAGCTACCTGCTGGTGTGCAAACATCATTGCCATGTTTCAAGTGTTATTTCTCCTTCTTTTGGTTTTTCCTGTTCTATAACTGATTTTTTTGGGAGGGAGTATTTTTATTTATTTTTTGCGTTTTGAGGGTATTGTGTGTTTTGCATCCCAGATCAGGCTAAGAGGTCCCGGATGGAAGTGGGTCGGCATGGGATGATATTCCAGCACCCCGCTGTCACTCCTTTAGGATCTCCCGGTGTTCCCCTCCAGCAGCTCATGCCGACAGCGCAAGGTAGGAGCGCCGTTGCGTCTCGGGATAGATCCGCTCTTGTTACCATTTTTTAATGCTGCTGGAGGTCAGAGTTCATTCCAGAGTTCCCAAAGTTGATCCCACCTTTTTTTCCAAGCATCATCTACCAGTTGTGATCCACTTGTTGGGACTCCGTTCAGACATAGTCCTCATTTAAAATCTTTCTCTAAGCATCAGAGGGACAGCTGGGCAGAAGATACAGCTGAAGATCAATTTGGAAGACATCACATTTTTTTTCCATTTATGATTTGCTCATTAGTTCCTTGAGCCATTCACCTCATCCGTTTACGTTCTTCTTTGCCATATTGGCATCTCTGATTCCATCCGAGGCTCATCAGATGATGAGCCCCAAGCTGTCTACTGGGATGTCCTATTTCACATAGTGTTTGTTTTGCGTTTAGTTCTGCGGTTTTATAGTTGACATCTCCTCTCCTGATCCTACAAAGCTCCTCCTTCACTTCCCCAAATTCACTGCATTGTCAACTTGGAATCTAAATGCATTTTCGGTCTTGGTTCCCTTTTCGTTTCTCCTCGTTTTATGGTCACCATGTTTTCAGTTCCCACCCTCATCTTCGGTTTCCATAGCATTGCTTCATGACCTGATGGTGAGGAGCCAAAAGTGGCGCTCAGGAAAGGCCTTATAATCAAGCAGATTAACCTCAGAAAGCTTCGGAGCTGACAAATTGACGTAGTTGGTTATTTAGCTCATGATGAAATGCTAAAAGAGGGAGATACTTATCGTTTACAGCTGGGCTTTACCTTCTTCTGTGCTAAACTTCCCTTGTCATTCCTCTGCTATACCCTCTGCTTTGCTGTTGTGTGGCTCGAGTATTAACACAGATGTTCCAGACATTACCTGCTTCGTGCATGTTCATGAAGTGTGTCAGTGCTTCAGTCGTGTCCATTACCTTTCTGTGCCTTTTTTTCTTTCTAGTTCTTCTCCTGTTTTTGTTTTATTTTATTTGGTTTCTTTTTTATATCTAGACTTTTCCACTTATGAATAGTTCAATGGTAATGCATGATTAGTTTGGTTCTTCATAGTAGTATTCTTAAGCATTGAATGAAATATTTTGATTTTCACATTTACGAGTTTTCATTCATTAGAACATGTATATCTTTCTTGATTTTTGTTATGTAGTCATTGTGACACGAATGGTATTTTTCATTAATGTTCCCTTTTATCCAGCATTGTGTAACACATTGCTGGTAATTCATAACATCATATCCATAAAAACAAAAGAAGTTTAGTTGAAACACAAATGGGTAAAGTCGTGTCTGAGTTCGATTGCACCCCACAATCAAAATAGATGTTTAGATCCGTAAAGAATACAGCACTGTTTTCGTGACAATAAAACATCTTAATTACTGTACTATATTGTACTGTATTACAGTGATTTATTTTAAATTCTGTAATATTTTTTCCCAGTTAAAATTGTTGGCAGTTTTACATTTTACATTAACAAAAATGTGTCAATATTTAAAAATGTTATATAAGATAAATTACATTCAAGTTACTGTATAAAGTCTTTTTATAATAATAATTATAAAATAAATATTATCTAACATCAAGGTAATGAGAATTTGAGAGACATGGTTTTAATTGTCATACAAATAATATTTCAGTTAAAATTATTTTACTAATCTTAAGTATAATTTCTTATTTCTTCTGAATTGCAGGTGAACTATGACTCACACGTTCTTTTCATTTTATCTAAATACAAGAAATATGACATCAGATATCAAGAGTTATTTAAAGTGTCAAATACAACATTTTGGCCTTTCAGTATGGGCCTTTAGGGTGCTTATAAAAATATTTATAACAAAAAAAATGACAGAGAATGCAGTCTGGTGGTCTCTGTAGACAGACATGAGCTAAGACAATATATTGTGTTTCCAATTCTTCATTTTCTCCTCCTTTGGAACTCTTCTTTGCTCTCCATTTCCCTCTATCTTTCTCTTTCCTCTCTCTGTTCCGTTTCCTTCATCTTGCCCCCATAACAGGAGGCATGCCCCCGACTCCACAAACGGTCCAGATTGGTGGGCAGCAACAGAACCAGCAACAGTACGACCCGTCCAAAGGTCCCCCGGTCCAGAACGCCGCCAGCCTCCACACGCCACCCCCACAGCTTCCAGGCCGCCTTCTCCAGGGTGGGCTCCCTATGGCTGGCTTGCCGCTCTCCCTGTCCCAGGGCCAGGCCATGGTGATGGACCAGCAGGCTCCAGTGGCTGGTGGTCAGCTCCAGGTGAAGGTGCAGGGTGCCGGGGCCGTGCTGGCTCCAGTCAACCCACATGCGCAGCTGCAGGCACAGCTTCAGCAGATAAAGTCAGGACTCCACCTACAGATGCAGCAGCAACAGCAGATGCAGCAGTTGGTCATGCAGCCTGGACAGGCAGTGAGTATGCTAAAAGACATTTAGGACTATGCCACAGAAAAGCAAACTGAAAAGATTGTCTTCCTTGTTTAAAAAAGCTTGTTCTGCTTATGATGGTAGTAATAAAAGTATGTTAAGATGGGCACATTTCTAGCTTTTCTGTTGCTTTTGGACTGTCTTGCGTTGGAGAATGAAAATGATTTATATACTGATGCAATAAACACACTGGGCAATATAGATAAAATAATATTCCTTGATAATTACAGAAAAAAACCAGTAAAACTATAACATTTTAAATAATCAAAGCATGTTTTCACTAAATTCACTAAATTAAAAAGAAGGGGGGAATTTTTTTTGTTGATATTTTCACTTTGTGTTAAGTGTCTTCTCCCACCGAGGAAAATGTAAAAACATTTATTGCTGTGTGACCTTATCTTTTAAAGGTTTTTTATTAAATAATACAAATTATTTAATTGTATACACTACAGAAAAAACACACAGAACTAAACACTTCCCTATTCATATATTTACCAAAACATTTGTACATAAATAAATGCCACATTTGAGGGATGATGCAAATGAACAGTTGAATTGTGAACTTAACTGGGTGGTTTCAACTAATTTACGAAAAATAAATCAAACTCTAAAGTCATTTTTGCTCTTGATGTTTTAATCAGAGTATCTATTAAAAATCTGCTGTATAGGAAGAATCAAACATTTTTTCTGATGAAACTCTCTTTAGGAAACATAATAGGCAAATAAAAAGTGCAATAAATTCATTACTTTGTATCAACAGCAAAATCATTATGACTATATCATGAATATTCAATATATTGCACAGCCCTACTTGCAACAGTAGATTTTGTTACAGTTCATCCTCTCTCTCTTTTTCAGACTGTGGCACTTGTGCGTCCTGGATCAGATTCTTCCCAGCCTGCCCAGCGTTTGTTGTCCAACTCTCTCTCCAACCCTGCAATGTCTCCTGCTCCTCTAACATCCCCGTCCTCTCTCTCCTCCCCACACCCTTCTGTTCCGGTCCGCACCCCCAGTACTGGCCCCAGCCTCTCTCCTGCTGCCCAGTCCAAACTCGCTACCACGAATGGCACCACCGGGCTGAAAATGTCCAGTCTGGGTCAGAGTCCAGTTGGGCAGAACTCACAGGAATGCTCTCAGGACAAGCAAGCAGAACAAGCCAAGCTGGTGAGAACTCTCAGATTAGAAGAAGATCTTTCTAGTATGCATTAAAGTAGCACATTTTGTAGTATATGTTGCCTATATTATCTCACACAAGAGTGTAACGTGTCATTGTAGGAGAGTCATGTGCACCAGCGCATTGCAGAGCTCCGTAAAGAAGGCCAGTGGTCAGCTAGCCGTTTACCCAAGCTGCAGGAGGCCTGCAGGCCCAAATCCCACTGGGACTACCTGCTGGAGGAGATGCAGTGGATGGCTGCTGACTTTGCCCAGGAAAGGCGCTGGAAGATGGCTGCTGCCAAGAAAGTGAGAAGACTCACACTCAGTCTGTGATATTAGAAACTGATTATATGTACATTACATGTAAATATATGATTATATGTACAGCCGATGTAGAGGTCAGATGTAACCTCAATGTTTTGACCACATGATCTAGTGCCAGTGTCCGTTCAATATGGAGCAGGCTAAAATTCAACTTTGATTTTAAGTTAAACAATCTCTCTCTCTGCAGCTTGTGCGTACATGTGCACGTTACCATGTTGAACAGAAGAAAATGGAGGAACGTGAGAAGAGGGAGGACGAGATGAGGCTGCGGCACATTGCCAGCACCATCGCCCGCGGGGTTGACTGCTTCTGGTCCAATATTGAACAGGTACATTTACATGTAATTTATACCAATATTATTTTAGTATTATAATATTATTTATCATAATACTATTTATTAATACCCGAGTTGGATTTTATTATATATTTTATTCTAGTTTTAGTAATTTTAGTACTTTAACTTAAACTCATTTTAGTTACTTGCCAAGGCAACATTAATTTAAAATTTTTCTTTTTTTTTACGTCTTATGTTGACATTTTATTTCAGCTTTATTTCAGTTAACAAAAACTGTTTCATAGTTTTTAACTTTAGTTTTAGTTAGCAATAACAACACTGACTTATACTTTAGTACTGGAACTGGAAAAAAAATAAATGAATTAAAGTAATTATTTTGTATGAGTCTTAAGATGCTTAGAAACCTCAGGCATTCACATGTGTTTGGGTTCATTAATGCATCATGTTTATTATAAATTAGTATTCACATTTAGACAATCTCACTGGGGAAAATGCTATTCCACTGTATGTGGAGATTTGTATTAGTTACTCATAAAGAGTTTTTTTTTTTTCTCTGTCTTACAACAGGTTGTAGAAATCAAGCTGCATTTTGAGATCTATGACAAACAACAAAAAGTTCTTAGCTTGCAGAAGGCTGTGAGTAAAGGTAAGATTAATTAATGTTATCTGACCTGTCTTAACTAAATGTTCAGACTTAGTTTATTAATTCAGAAGAGACTTTGTATTGCCACAGGCAAGTGTGCTAAAGTGACCCAGTCATCTGGAGAGAAGTCAGATAAAGAGAGTAAAGGGGTAAGATCTTCTCCATGAGTTCTCCAAGATCCTTCCTCATCGCTGCTTCACTCATCCTTTGATTGTACTTGACAATTTGTCTTCCCTTTTTTCCCTTTCAGCAGGAGACTGGCCCATCCCGCAAGAGAAAGTCAAGCACCTCGCTCTCGGATGTAGAGGGTACATAGTGCATTTAAGCATAGTTTCCTTACCGTTCTCTGTGTGCATGCTGCTGATTGATCTAATGTTGTTTTGCAGTTGAAGATGAGGAAAGTACAATAGAGGAGCAGGAGGCCATGGAGGTGGCAGCTGATCAGAAAGCAGAACTGGCCGAACTAACAAAAGAAGGTAAGTTTTACAGTAATACGTTTTTTGTTTTCCTCCTTAATATTTTTTAAATATATCAGACTATGTACGAACATAGTGTATTACATGTTTAGACATAGACTGAATTATATAATACTGATTTTGGGCATTTTTAAGGTTATTGATCATGCCTTCTCAAAATTTTTTGAAACGTATTGTAACATTATACAGTTATATAAATCTGTTCATACAATTTAATAATTTCATAAATGTTTTCAAATGTTTTTAGTGGATTTTAAGATGCAATTGAATTTTGTGCACAGGCTAATAATTAATTTTATAACATTTTCAGTATGGTTTCAGTATGCAACATTTTTGGTTATTTATAATTCTGCATTACAGCAGCCATTAGCCACTGAAAACTCGTATTGCAGAGCAACTGTTATAAACTGTGTGTTTGTGTCTTGTAGCTGAAGTGCCATTGGATGATCTGGTGAAGAAGTACACTGGTGCTTACGCAGAGGGCTTTGAGTGGCCGCATCCTTCCAGCCAGAGCGAAGATGAAGACAGAGAGGAAGCTGAAGGTTTGTGTACGTCTACTGCTTCAGAACTAACTTTAGAGCCCCAAAAAATCCCAGAAATACAAAAGATTTAAATAAATCAGTGCTTTTGGCAGTATATATATTTGATGTCACAGTAGGGCTGCCCCCTAATAGTCGACTAACCGTTAGTTGAAGAGAAGAAGCTTGGTCAACCAAAATTGTATTAGTCGGTTAGTCGCAGCAATTACTTAAATGAACTGCCAAAAGATTTTCTAAAACATCATGGACGGAATGGTCCTGAGAGCGCTGCACATGCTCGCGGTGCCATCTGCAGGACCTTTAAAAGCATTCAAATGATTTAAAGTGCCAAATGCGAGTAGAATCAGCACTGAAACGTGTTACTCAACCCGGTGACTTTTTATGAATGGCGGTGAGAATTTGAGATTGCTTAGTGCTGTCATAAAATTCGCAGCAGTTGTGATGTAATTATATAATAGGTTGTAGTCTGACGTGCTACATGTCTGCTGTTACTGTACTGTTTTTAGTTTAGATTCAGTGCTAGCTGCGCTTGGTTTGAGCCACTGTAATTAGCATTTTGGAACGCAACATTTGTCATTAGAAACGGTTTTAAATCTGTTGTTTACAAAGAGAAGTTTCTGTGTCACATAATCCTTCAGAAATCATTCTAATATGCTGATTTGCTGCTCAAGAAATGTTTCTCATTATTATCAATGTTAAAAACAGTTTTGCTGCTTAATGTTTTTGTGGAAACAATGATACCATTCAAACATTTGTATAAGATTTAAAAAGAGAGAAATTATTAATTTTATTCATCATGCATGAAAGTGATAAAAAGTGGGTGAAGACATTTAAAATGATTTCTATTTAATAAATGCATTAACAAATGTAATTAATATATTTGATGAATGAAAAAAATTATGCTGTTCAATAAACTTTCAATTTATCAAAACATCCTGAAAAATAGTGCATCACCATTTCCACACAAAATATGAAGCAGCAAAATTGTTTTCAACATTGATAATAATCAGAAATGTTTCTTGAGTCAAATTAATTGTAATGATTTCTAAAAGATCATGTGACACTGAAAACTGGAGTAATGATGAAGATAATTCTGCTTTGCATCACAGGAATAACATTACATTTTATAATGTATTAAAATTGAAACCTTTTTTAAATTTGTAATAATATTTCACAATATTATTGTTTTTTTTACTTTATTTTGATCAAATAAATTCAGCCTTGATGAGCAGAAGATATTTATTTGAAAATCATCATTAATTGTAATGTTTCCAAACTTTTGGCAGGTACTTTAATAATAATAATAATAACAATTCTATTAATACTTTCTATAATATATTATATTGTTGTCATGATTATTAAATGCTGCTTTTGATTTTTCACAGGACAATAGTATTTATTATTACAATATAAGATATTATATATATTATTTAATGTGCTAAAATATATTTTTAATAGTAAGTTCTGGGGGCGTGACTTGGAGCGTGGTCAGATTTTCCTGCTTTTTTGTCTCTGGCTGATCACATGCCTGAGCTTGTCTTTGTGGTAATTACAGTACATCGAGAAGGACATCCAAATGCTCACCTTTCATTCATCAACCTCAAATATGGCTTCATCTGAAATATGTTAGCAACTTTACATGGCCGCTCAATTTAATGTTAACAAAAATGTGCGCTATTCAAGTGTCTGTGCGGAGTGTGGAAGCTGAATAGTATTGCTTGCTCACTGCATGACAGATGGAAGCGCCAATGTGGTCACTTGCTCTTAAAATACTTTTTTGTTCTTACAAATAAGAGTAATACATATTTTGAATCTGTAAAGACGCCACGTTTATTTGTGTGCACTCACAATAACAACAAAACATTGCGCTTTTGTAAAATAATGGCAGGATGAGCTTTCTGCCGTCTTGGTCTCTGTGAACTTGAGCACGAAACTCTGAAATTCTGTGTGTACTTGCCTTACAGATGTGAAAAATATACACATATTGGTACCAAAAATTTTCGTTACGGGTCTTTCGTTTCGGAACGCATATGTACCGAACAAATCGTTCCATTTTTTTCAGGAAATTCAGACAATAAATGCCGCTTTGGCGCTCTTAGACATGGCACGACAGATCGCTGTATAAATGCCTCAGTTCTGACGGCAGCACGAAGCGTGAGTGAGCGTGATCATCCCTTCCGCTTTCTTACTAGTTTTAACGCAAAATAAACATGAATTGACATCTCACTCCTCACGTAATCGCTCAATTAGTGTTTCAACTGCAGAAAGAAGTAATTAAAACAGCTTGTAAACAAAATGTCACGTAGCATTTCATTTACGTCAGGCAAGTCATCCGTGTCTACAGCTTGTTATTTGCTAGAGAAATTAAGTCTAGTGAAGAGCATTTTGAGAAATATTAGACTATATACTTCATTATATACTTCATCACAGTAACAGTTTATGCTCTTCTCTGTTCAGATATTGATTCTCCGTTAAACAGTCCACATGATGCGGTGCTGATAGACTCTTTGCTGAGTATGGATCAGTACCGTGGGGCTCAGCGGACAGCTTCTGGCCCTGATGGGAAGCCCATCAAGGATATCGCTGAGGTCGCTGCAGCAACAGACCTGATTCTGCCCAAAGGCAGCGCCAGGACCACTCTAACTGTGAGTCATTTACGCTCTTACTCACAGGGACTGTTTAAAACATGGATGATTACAGATTTATTTAAGCAGTTGTTTAATTCAAGTGGTCTCACATTGTCTGATGACACTTCATCACAGTAACAGTTTATGCTCTTCTCTGTTCAGACATTGATTCTCCGTTAAACAGTCCACATGATGCGGTGCTGATAGACTCTTTGCTGAGTATGGATCAGTACCGTGGGGCTCAGCGGACAGCTTCTGGCCCTGATGGGAAGCCCATCAAGGATATCGCTGAGGTCGCTGCAGCAACAGACCTGATTATGCCCAAAGGCAGCGCCAGGACCACTCTAACTGTGAGTCATTTACGCTCTTACTCACAGGGACTGTTTAAAACATGATGATTACAGATTTATTTAAGCAGTTGTTTAATTCAAGTGGTCTCACATTGTCTGATGACTCATGAATCCTTTCCTCTCAGAGTCGTTCCTCTCCTCCTGCTCTGCTGCACGGTTCTCTGAGAGAGTACCAGCAGGTCGGGGTGGAGTGGCTGGCAAGCCTCCACCGCAAAAACCTTAACGGCATCCTGGCAGATGAAACTGGCCTTGGCAAAACCGTACAGACTGTGGCTTATTTTGCTCACTTGGCCTGCAACCAGGGTACCACCAGCAACCACATTTACCAACTTTATAGAGACTGTTACATTTGTTTTTTTCCTCAAAGCATTTGTTTATTGTAATTGTAAGAATCAAATGCAACACGTTCTGCTGTCATGTGGATGTTGCAGGTATCTGGGGGCCTCATTTAGTGGTGGTGAGGACCTGTAAGCTGATAAACTGGGAGATGGAGTTCAAACGGTGGTGTCCTGGACTGAAGATACTCCTGTACCTCGGCAGCAGAAAGCAGCGCAGATACAAGAGATCGGTATGAACCAGAGAAAGCCAGCTAGCCGACTATGTACTCTCACATACTGCCACCTGTCTTATCCATCCCGGTTGCTGTGGTCTAGCTGTTAGTGCATCAGTTTTGCATTAGATAATTCCTCAAAGTTGTTTTCAAATCAGATGGTAGGTCATTGAATTCTTTGATAATTGAGTTGGGTAGCTTTTGTCCAAGCCTTTGTCCATGTTTTTGTATGTTCTTACTTTCCCTCTGTTGTCTTGTGTGTGCAGAGGTGGTGTGAGCCCAACAGCTTCCATGTGTGTGTGACTTCATACAAACTTCTGCTGAAAGATCAGTCTCACTTCCTGAGGAGGCGCTGGAGGCACCTGGTGCTAGACGAGGTGCAGCTCATCAAAAACATGACGGAGAAACAGTGGGAGACCATCTTCAACATAAAGAGGTTAGGAACAATGCAACTGTTTTCTATACAGTATCTGTTGGTGTAATGCTTTCTACATTTTTGCATTCAAGAGAATATTCACAGTAGATTTATCTTTTACAACAGCTGTTTACGAGGAATGCACAAAATAATAACACCATTAAAATTAATCTTTATTTATAGCATTTAAAATGATTGATTTTTGGTTTTTAGCTTTTTATTATTTTAGACCAAAAAGTATAGAAATTTGATATCCGCCATTTATTGGTTGATATGTGCTATGCATCCTTACTACTCTATCAGAGTTATTTTAGCGTTATTTGTATATTATACTATTTATTAATGTTTTGAATGATCTTTTTTTATATTTTAAGTTTAACTTTATAGCTTCAGTTCATTTAGTTTTAGAATGTGTATTTAGACCTTTGTATTTCAGTTTGAATAATTAAACATTCTTTCAGTCAGTGCACTGCAACACTTCTAATTTAAATTTTTCATCTTAATGTATATATTTAGTTTTATTTTATTTCAATCACCAAAAATGATTTTTTTAATATAGTTTTAGCTTTATTTATAATAACACTATACTGTTACACAATACTTTGTATGTGTTAGGGCTGCCCCCGACTAAAGATTTTTCTGGTTGACTAGTAGTCATTTGAAGCATAAGTCGACTAATCGCACATTTATTAATAAATGATTTAAATCATAATAATGAGCCTTTAATTGCCTTCATAGCCTATGCGCTCAAGTGCATGCATAAGCTTGTCACAGCGCACCGGCAGAAGAATTATTGATTATGAATGTGTCAGGGAAAAACAGTAAGGAGGCTGCATTATCATTTTAATAATTCATTGATAAACTAGCGCTTTCTTTGTTTTCGGTTTAAGAGATGAAGTCGGTGACACTGACTCGTCATCTTTGCAGTAGTGGATGCGCCTGTATGCATGTTTCATACGGATTACATAATCTAAGAATATTTGTTTTCCATTTGAATTAGTTTATTTGAAAGTTGACATTTTGCTCTCTATAGATATATTTTTCATGTCTGTAAGACAAATAAACATGGAGTTTCGCGCTCAAGTTCACAGACTGAGACCCCAGAAAGTGAATCAGTTGCTTTCATTATTTTACACAAGCACAATGTTTTGTTTTTTTGTGAGTGCACAAAAATAAACGTAGAGTCTTTACAGATTTGAAAGATGTATTACTCTTATCTGTATGAGCAAAAATGAGGGAGTATTTTAAGAGCAAGTGAGTGCACCGGCGCCTCCATCTGTCATGCAGTGAAGCGCTACTGTTCCGCTTCCACATTCCGCACAGACACTTGAACAGCGCACATTTTTCCACGTTAACATTAGATTGAGCGGCCATGTAACGTTGCTGCTACTTACATATTTCAGATGATAAGCCATATTTGAGGTCGATAAATGATAGGCAAGCGTTTGGATATCCTGCCTGATGTACTGTATTACCATAGACCAGCCGTTAACGATCTGAGTGACTTTGCCAATGTGGATTTTTTATTTATTTATTTATTTTCTGTGACTAAGCGACTAATAAAATTTTGGTCGGCCAAGCCTCTTCTGGTCGACTAACGGTTAGTCGACTATTAGGGTGTAGCCCTAGTATGCATTAATATATTGTAATTGATTTTAAGTAATCATGTTTTTTTTTTTCTGTCTTCTCAACAGTCAGCAGAGGATTCTCTTAATCAACACACCTCTGCAGAACACTCTGAAAGAGTTATGGACCATGATCCACTTCCTCCTGCCTGGAATCACTCACCCATACCTCAACTTCCCCATCAAACCCGGCACTGATCAGAACCAGGACTACTGCCACAAACTGGTCATCAGACTGCACAGGGTGAGGCTTGCTGGAAGTTGTTTCTGGTGACTTTCACCACAGAATGACACCCTTTTGCTTAACTATCTTGCTCGAGCACCACAATCCTAGTTTTGTTTTCTTCCTTTCTGCTGTAGATGATTCAGCCCTTCATCCTGCGCCGTTCCAAGAGAGACGTTGAGAAGCAAATGCCTAAGAAGTATGAGCACATTCTCAAGTGCCGTCTGTCCAAGAGGCAAAAGAGCATGTATGAGGACATCCTCATCCAACCCAGGTCAGCACAGAGCACATTCAGCCAAACACAATCTTAACCAGCTCTTTTCCAGTTCATCTGTTTTGAGTGATACTCTGCTTTTCTACTGCCTTCTAGTGCACAGGAAGCACTGAAGACTGGACATTTTGTCAGAGTCCTGGAGGTTCTTATGCAGCTGCAGAAGATCTGCAACCATCCAGACCTGATCCAGCCCAGAGACACACACAACTCTTACATATGTCAGCCACTGCAGTACAACACCCCATCATTACTGCTCACAGCCCTGCAGCAGGACCAGTGGAAGGTTAGGAAGATAAATAAACACTTGGATTGTGGAATATAGAAGAAAAATGTTTGTTGACTGATGGGCCATTTTCATTTTCTTTTTCAGACTGTAGATATGTCACTGTTTGACCTGATTGGTAACGAGGGACGATTGACCCGTTATGAGGCCGAGGAGGCTCTGCCTAAACTCAGAATGACCAAACAGCTGATTGAAGAGATCTACAATGCACGCGACCCACCAGCCAGACCCAAACCATGCAAGATCAAACCTATGAGGTGTCCATCCATCCATGCAGACCTATCAGCTCTGAACACATACCTGCCATAATTATATCATATGGATTTCTGTAGTTTTATTAATGGGACATAATATTTTTAAATGAGACAAACCAATTAATACCACAATACACTGAAAATACTCATGTTGATGCTGCTGTTTTTACACCAAAAATCGTCACTTCCTTCAGAATAATGCATGAAATTACATTCTTGTTGAGTGAATACACATGTTGCAGGTGTTTTTCTATTAAATACAAATGCAAACATTAAATGCTAAACGTTATTGTATCACCTAATTATGTTATGTATTCTTTTTTTTATTTTATTTTTCATTATGATGTGTACATGTACAACAGGATTGGTCCATGTGAATTGATACTGATTGTGGCATAATTTCAGGTTGTTCGTGCCGGTGCAGTATGGAACAAAACCAGAGGGGCACCTGGTCCCCATAACTAGCAGCACCACTCAAGCCCCTCGTGCCACTGCTGTTACTACTGCCCCCACCACCACTACCAACCCTGCTACTGCAGCTCCAAGCACACAGCCCAGAGGCAAATCACCTCTTACCACAACCACTTCTGCACAGGGTAAGACCCCTTCTTGTGGATCATCTTACACAAACGTGTTCCCACACTTACACCCAAAACTGTTTTTGTGAAGTGGTATATTTTTGTAGTTGTGCTTCTTCCCTAAAAATATGCTCAAGTCAGTTCTTTTGTGTGTGTGCTTTTTTTTTGGCCATCTTACTTAATGGTGACATCTGTAAGATTTATTTTATGTCAGAATACATTATCTTAAGCCAGTTTATTGTACATTAACTACTATAAGCATGCCATTAATGGGTTTATCTCTCCCAAAGGTGAGCCTCCCAAGCACCATCAAACACATTTAGAGTGGTTGGTTCAGATCCGTCAGTCTTTTTCCAACTAAACCTGTAGCGAGAGTTTGGGTCATGGCTAGCCAGAGGGTGTTTACAATGGTTGTGGTTAAAAATGGGAAAATAAATTTGGTTACAGAAGTGCAAGTCAAAATTCAAAGACTTGCCAAAATAAGCAGATACAGTGGGGTAAAATGAGGGTAGACATTGGCGGTGCTTTTACAAAAATTTGATTCAACTTATTGTAACTAATACAAAATTCCATTTCAAATAATACATTTCATAAATCTTTCTTTCATAAATCTGTTTGCACGCTGCCCTTTAGCAAGTAAAAATAATAATTTTTAATAATATTTTTTATGCCTTCTGAGGGTTCAGTGAAATCCCTAACCCCAGAATTTTCATTTTTGAGTGAACAATTTCTTTAAAATCACCATTAAATGGAAATTGCGATCAAAATGTAGGCTGGGACTTCGTTTTGTCCATTGGGAATTGATTGGATTTTTGTCATTTGTTAATTGCTGTAATTATTGAATTGCTTCATTAAACAGCAATGTTCCATTAAAATAATAATCATAATAAATAAAACAATTGACAGCTTTAATTTCATGGTGACTTCAAGCAAGCACATGGCAATGCCCTAGCACTATAGCTGAGTTTTGCATAGGCCAGCACCTCTCACCACCAAACAAAAATCAATATTTTGTAATATTTTATGTCCCAAATAACTTTTTAAAAAAGATTAAACATTTTTTATCCTCCAACCCCATTACACTCGCTCTGATTGGTCCATTCAGACTAGGGCTGCACGATTAGTCAAATGCGATTGTCATGCACATCTTGTCAGTAAAGCCGGTTCTGTGATTATTAGTAAATCTCCATCACCTGTTTTCAGATGGAGCAGCATTTACTACACAGAACCTTAGATCTCTGACAAGCTACGCAAAAAAATTGCAGACGATATAATCGTACGATTATGATGATTATATTGTCCTTCAGATGGAGATATACTGCTGATCACAGAACCGTGCTTCACTGACAAGACACGCATGACAATTGCAGCTTCAGTCTAATCGCGATTTCGATTTCATTTCAATTTATCGTGCAGCCCTAATTCAGACTGTTAACTCCTCTTCCTTTTTAGCCTCTGCAATCAGCAGCTCATCAGGATCACTCTTAACAGGAGCCACCCCTAACCCCCCTTCTACCCCTCTGGCTGTGGGTGTGACAAGGTTCACCACTATGCCTGCTGTGGTCCCCCATGCCCCTGCCGCCCACCCCCTCCAGCCCAGTTTGGTACCCCAGAGGCTGGTGCTCAGCTCCCAGGCCAAGGCACGCTTGCCTAGTAAGTGGCCTCATCATCACTCACCGCAGATGGGCCTTCTCCATTGCGCCCTCTCCCTTGTGCACCTGTTTCCTTCTTATCATGCCCCCAAGCACAGCAGTAAACGATCTCAGTGAAGATCAGAGACTACAGTACGGCTCTGCTGAAGTGGGCTAACATGCATACAGACTTCCACCAAAGAAACTAATGGTGATACTCAACTCAAATTCAGCCAAATCGACACCATAAAGTTGGCATATTTGCAGTCTGATTTGAAGTGCAGAAAATCTTCAGCAGATGACCTATGGTGGTTTCTCTCCTCACCCTTCACAAACAAGCATGAGCCCTCCAGAAATTTCTCCGGACTGAACCCGCTGCCTCCAGTTTACTCACGTCTTCTTTTTTTGACATATTTATTCCCTTTTTCTTTTCTTTTTTTCCCTTCTGCATTTTGATGACTAATCTCTTTGTTTTTCGTGCAGTACAGCTGAAGGATGATCCAGAAGCTTTTTAATATGGTTTTGCCTCCCTATCTTTTCACTGCAGCTTTTCTTCAGAGCCGTTTATTTTGTTGTCATTCTGTGGGTGTAAAGAGCGTCAAGCTTGTGGGCGCTGCTCCCCATGTCACATGTAACCATTGTTACATGGAAAACCTTTTATACAAGCAAAGATTTTCTCCCACTTTGTTTTGCTCCGCTAAACGAATCAGTCTGGTTTCAGTTTGTTTGTTACAGGTTTTTTGTTTGAGGAAAAAAAGTGTCATTCTTCCTGTTTAACACACCGTGGTTGTGCATGTCCCTTTCCGTGCTCACCCCGAAACTAACTAAAATGTTTTTTCCTTCTCAGAGATAAATTGTCAGCCACTATCATTTAACATTAGCTGTTTTCTACTGAAGGTGGAGATGTAGTGAAGGTTACTCAGTTGGTTGGACAGGGTCGTATCGCCCAGCCAGAGACCCCTGTGACCCTACAGTTCCAGGGCAACAAGTTCACTTTGTCTCCGAGTCAGCTGCGGCAGCTCACCACCGGCCAGCCTCTGCAGCTCCAAGGTACACTCGGTAATGTCCAGCCCATATTCATCCTCTCTTTGTCTCATTTCACTTCCATATCCAGTCACTTGTGTCAGCTGTTTTTATGTGTGTTCAGTAAATCCTCATTATATGGCTTAATGTAACGCTCATACGTTTATGTGTCTGCTTTAGGCAACATCTTGCAGATTGTGTCTGCCCCCGGACAGCCTCTTCTCAGGCCACAGGGGCCACCCATGGTGATGCCTACTGTACCCCAGGCTGTGCCTGTACAGAACTCCTCAGGTACACCACCTGGCACTGATGCTGAAAATTCAGCTTTGTCATCACATAAATTATCCTTTAAAATATATTAAAATAGAAAACAGTTATTTTAAACTGTAATACAATTTCACAATGTTAAAAAATATATATTTTTTAAATTACTGACCCCAAACTCTTGAATGGAAATGTATGTGTTATAATTGTCGACTTTATAATTTATAAATATCAGTATAAAGCAACTTTTACAACTTGTTCTGGTCAAGAGTTGCCCATGTACAATCCATCTTCCTGTCTGAGTTGGATAATATCACAACAATAGATTAATAATAATAACAATTTAACATGGCAATCAGTCTCCAACCGACTGTAAAAAAGTACTAAATAAAACTGGTTTAATGGTCTAAATTTTGATGTTCCTGTATCTGTTTGCAGGAAAACTGGAGGCGCTGTCTATCCTGCTGCAGAAGCTGAGCGCTGAGAACAGGCGTCTGCTGATCTACACCCAGATGGCCAGCATGCTGGATATACTGGAGGCCTTCTTAGACCATCGTCACCTCACCTATGTACGGCTGGATGAGAGTCTGTCACTAGAGGAGAGACAGGTAAAACACATGGAGTAACATTCTCTGTTGCCCTGGCCAAGTCCATGTCCCATTGAGGCTGTGTGGGTTTCTGGGCTGTAATTAAAAGGGCAGATTAGCGAGCGCTCTTCCCTCCCTGTTGGATTCAGTTCCACACGGGGCCTCAAATGATGCTTACATATCAGTGAAGTGCTATCAACACACAAACATCTCATCTTGATCATCTTGTACAGAAAATGCAATACTTAACCCATCTTGTTCCTCATGTCCCGACCACTTTCAGGAGCGGGTCAAGAGGTTTAACCGCAACAGACAGATCTTCTGCACCATCCTGGCCAATCGCTGCTGCTCAGCTATGGGCCATGTGTTTGACGCAGACACCATCGTGTTTTACGACACAGACCTAAATCCCAGCATGGACTTGCGCACACAGGAGTGGTGTGACAAGATCGGCCGCTCCAAAGACATCCACATCTACAGGTAAGACTGATGGGTTAATTAAATGTTTTTGCTTGTCAGGTTTTTATTTGTCAGCTTTTTTACTAACGCTGTGCTCTGTCAGGTTGGAGAGCGGGAACTCAATTGAGGAGAAGCTTTTAAAGAATGGCACTAAAGACCTTATTCGAGAGGTAGCTGCACAGGGCATGGATTACACTCTAGCCTTTTTAACACAGGTAAGTGCACATGCAATCACTGTTACTTTTGACATTGAGGGACTGTTTCAAAAACTAGCCAGATATGAGGTTGCGTTTCAGTAGAGAGAGAGGCAGCTCTCTAGAATTTGGAATGCTCACATTATAAATATGTGCTGGATTTTCACAGCGCACCATTCAGGATCTGTTTGAGGTGGAGGCTGGTTCTGGAGAGAAGGTGGAGGAGTTTGTGGTTCTCCACCAGGAGCCATCCCCATCCGAATCTATCCCCCCTCATGTGGCCAGACCCTACATCCAGGCCCTGAAGACCATCCGAAAGAAAACCCAGTATGAAGATGAGGTCGAGGAGACAGAGGTAGACATGAAAAGTGAGAAAGTGGGAGGACAAGAAGAGATAGATGTGAAGGAAGGGGTGAGAGAGGAGGCGTCACAGGTAGAGGAGTTGGCGGCAGTCATGGAGCAGGTGAGGTTATTGAAATTGATAGAAAATATTACTTGAAAATGTAATTGTTCTCGTATGTGCTTTTTATACCATGCAACCATAAACTTTTGGTTTTGTGTTACGGTATTTAACATGCAAATTCTGGTCATTTAACTTTATACACTGCGGTTTTTGAAAGAAACCAGTACAGCTCCTAAATCATTTCTTATCGATGTTGAAAACATTTGTGCTGCTTAATATTTTTGTGGAAGATGTAATACTTTTTTTCAGGATTCTTTGATGAATAGAAAGTTCTAAAGAACAGCAATTATATGAAATAAAAATATTTTGTAACATTATAAATGTCTTTAGTGTCACTTTTGAACAATTTCTCCTTGCTCAATAATAAAAAAAAAATCTTCTGAATAAAAAAAGTGGTTCTGACCACAATTTGTGGTGTTTTGTCTAGCTGACTCCTATTGAGAGATACGCACTGCACTATCTGGAGTACTTGCACAGCAGTGAAGATGAACAGGTTATAAAGGTATGAAACATTTTTACATATTACAATACATGTTATGACCGCCATGTAAATAATACAGAATGTTTAATTGTCAATGTTTGTGTGAATTGCAGGAGCGCATAGAAGCTGCTAAGAGAGGCTGGGAGCAGCAGCAGCAACAGAAACTAAAGGTAGAGAAAACGGAGCAAATGATCCTAGAAGATGAGGAGGATCTGTTCACATATACCAGAGAGGATGCATACAACATGGTACAAATATATTCTAATATTCTAATGTTCTTTTCGGTAGGAAGTGATGTCAGATCTGTTGTGTAGATTTGATACCCTGTTCCCTTCCACTTTACAGGAGTATGTGTTCGAGAATGAAAATGGACAAACAGAAATAATGCCAGTAAGTTTAAGACTGCACATTCCTGAAGAGAATTAAAGGAAGAATTTTGGTTGAATCTCCCAAAAACATGTCTATATCACATTTTACTCCAAAAAAGTGGAGTAAATTTTTTTTGCATAATGAATGAATGTAATGAGATAAATTAAGATGAAAATGTGCTTATCAAAAATAATGTTCCAATTCCAAAGGGTAACTAAATAAAGCTAAATACATTTTTATTTAATGTGTTTATATTTATTCTGGGGTAAAATTATTGATGAGTTTGGTGAGAGTCACCCCTTTATTTATTTTAAAATGTATGAAAATTGGTTCATAACTCTTACTATTGCTCTTTTCTGTAGCTGTGGACTCCCCCAACTCCTCCACAGGATGATAACGATATCTACATTGACTCTGTAATCTGCCTCATGTATGACACTGCGCCTATGCCCGAATCCAAACTGCCCCCAGTCTACGTCCGCAAAGAGCGCAAGAGACACATGGACCCGTCAGGTAAGACTGCTCAAGAAACGCTTTCAGTCTGATCTTACTGTGCTTAAATACATGCTAAGTTCTCTCTTTTTCTCTCTCTCCCCCCCTCTTGTCAGCTCTGGGACGTAAGAAAAAGAAGGGCCATGGAGAATCAGTGATTCCTCCACGCTCTCTCTTTGATAAGGCCAGTCTTCTCAAAGTAAGGAGGGAGGGTAAAGACCAGAAGAAGAACTTCTCTCTGAAGCAACAGGCTCCCTTTGCCAAACCGCTGCCCTCACTGCTCAAACCAGCCATGGAGGCTGGGCAGGACAACCCTGAGTGGCTCATCAGTGAGGATTGGGCCCTGCTACAGGTACTTGATCCATCACGTTATTGCATTATCACTGCCTATGTTTAACCGCACAGTTGTTTGTTAAATGGATAAGCTAAGGTTGTAATTCTGCCTTTTTTTTCTGTTCACAGGCTGTGAAGCAGTTACTGGAACTTCCTTTGAACCTGACCATCGTGTCTCCAGCACACACTCCTAACTGGGACCTGGTGAGCGACGTGGTCAACTCCTGTAGCAGAATTTACCGCTCGCCAAAACAATGCCGTAACCGCTATGAGAATGTCATCATACCCAGAGAGGAGGGCAAAGTGAGTGATTGTACCAGGATCATGTGGTTGTGAATTCTTTTTATTTATTTTTCAACATTTTCCTTGTGACGTAATTATACAAACTGTCCTACAGTTAATATATGAAGCTAACCCTAAGAAGAACAAGACCAAGAGCATTTATAAGGTATTTAAAAAATAATAATAATTCGGCACATATTATTAGCTGTTTCCTTGGTAACACTTCCTTTTTTGTGCAGTTCAAGAATAGTCGTCCTCTGCGCACTTGTCAGATCTACACACAGGATGACAACGCCACCCAGATCCAGCTGTTCAACAACCGCTTTGAGCTGATGAAAATCATTGCTAGCAAGAGGAGCCCACCAATAAGACCACTGTATGTGCAGGCAGTGTCCAACACACAAACATTGCGTTTACATTCTGCCAGAATGCTTTCATTAATGCAAAAAATAATTTTTGGTGTTTTTGTTTCTAGACTGGGCATGAATCCATTCCAGAAGAATCCTAAGCATGCCTCTGTGCTGGCTGAGAGGTATTGACTCTTGACATGTTACTTTGCTTTTACAAAAAAGCCCTGTGACAAAAAAGTGATCTGCTTCAGGGCTGTACAGTGCGACATATATGTCGCACGTGCTACAAAAAACGGTCTGTCCGATGAATACATTTACCACTATAGCACACGATACAATTTTGCTTGTTCATAACACAGCCGCTTAATAGTGTGAAGTGATTTTGTTGTGCTTGTGTTTGTGTGTGTGTGTGTGTGTGTGTGTGTGTGTGACATGGATTATACTTGGTAATTATGGGTGTGCGATATGACAATTTTTGATCATGGACGATTAAAATATCTCCACGATCTGCTTTTGAAGGAATATCGTAGTATCGTGCTACAGCGCACATTCTATCAGATGCAGTTCTACTTCACAAAAGTACATTATTTGCATCTGCTTAAACATCTAATTCACGTGATGTTCTGACATGCGTTTTTATAGCCTACACATAAAGCGCGCGCACGCTGCACACTAAAATAGTGCCTGATTACTAGACTAAGTTGTCTTTCACGTCTGATTGATTTTGCATCTAATACTGTCAAAAACACACAAGGTTTACATTTTGGTTGTCTAAAATGAAAGTTAACCATTGAGAGAGAAACGCATGCGTTTGATAAGAGGGACAGTACTAAACATGGTGCCGCTTGTCATTAAAAGGAATAGTTCACCCAAAAATTGAATTTCTGTCACTATTTGCCTACTCACATTGTCCCAAACCTGTATTACTTTCTTGTGCTGAACACAAAATAAGATATTTTGAAGAATTTGGCTTACCAAATGATCGTATTTTTTAATAGACCCTTTTCACATTTCCGGGTTTCTCAGCAGCAGAACTGGTCATAGATGGGTAAATCTATAGTGGTGAATGGGAGACTACCACAAATATAAATATTTTTTTTGCATTCCCATTTGCTCAAATAGCAAAAGAAAAACTCCACGATAATGTTTTCATGACTTTCAAAAAAAAAAAAGAGAAAGAGAGACTGACAATGACAGTCAGAAGAGAGAACAAAGTCAAATTTACTGTCACTCCTATAGACACCGTATTAGAAACACCCTCGCATTAGCGTTAATTCATTTTTTGTAATTATAACAAAATATAGTGTTATAAATGTACATACATTTAAAAAAAAAAAAACAATGTGAAAAACTTTGGAGGATTTATGATGCTGATGACCGTTGAAACGCGTCATCACAGTCTTGTGAAAAGGGTCCATAACAAAGATAAAATACTGACAAGGATTTTTATCTTCGCCCACTTTGGCCTAAATGTCTGCCATTCTTTTTATTTTATATTTTGTTGAGGTGTAGGAGGTGTTATTTTTCTGCACTCTTCCATTTTTAGCAAATAAAGAAAAATTTTGCTCGTACATAACAGATCGTTTTGTTTGAAACAATTTTTGTGATGGTTTGTATTTTTTGTGCTCTTTGGAACATCAATGTCTGTTTAAGTGATGAACTCTATTACTTATGTTTGTTTTCAGACATGATAACAGACGTTTTATACTTGTGCTACAACTTTTTGACCTGTGCTACAAAATTTTCAACCTCTGTAGCACCAGTGCTATGTGCAAAAAAGGTTAACGTACAGCCCTGTGCTTCCAATATTAGCTAGCTTGGAAATTTATCATAAAAAAAAAAATCTAATTCTGGCTGATACAATCTTTAATATATTGTACATCTTTAGTCACATTTGATATTCATTTGAGGTTAAACAGCATCTCATTCATTCTTTCTTGATTCTTGATCCCATGATTTATAGCGGGATTAGCTACGACAAGCCTCTGCCTCCTATCCAGGTCGCCTCTCAGAGAGCTGAGAGAATCGCTAAAGAGAAGAAGGTGAGATATAAGTAAAATAAGTATAATAAATAAAAAGTGTTTTGTTTTTTTTGTGCATTTTTATTTATTATATTGAACGCTTCTCTCTTTTCCTCTATCCTCTGCTGCCATAGGCACTAGCCGAACAGCAGAAGGCTCAGCAGTTAGCCCAGCAACAGACTACAGGAGCCGCCCAGCCTCAGGGAGCTGCTGCCCAGCCACAGGCCACTGCAGCGGCCACACAGGCGGCGGGAGTGCCCCAGCCCAACCAATCCGGAGCAGCAGCAGTCCCCAACACCGCTGTACTGGTTAGACTCCTTACGTACACCTGTATTTAGCTCTACATTACCCAAGATGAAGGTCTAACTAATTTCTATATTACACTTATATTATTCATGTTTGAACAACTGTTCCAAAGTTTGGGTTCAGGAAGATTTTTGTCTCTTACACTTACTAAGACTGTTTATTTGATAAAAAATACAGTAAAAACACTAATAATGTGAAATAATATAGTTTGAATGGTAATATTACAATTTAAAATTTTTATATATTTATATAAAATGGGATTTGTTCCTGTGATGGAAAAGCTGAATTTTCAGCAGCCATTACTCCAGTCTTCAGTGTCACATGAAACCAAACTAATAAGCTGATTTTAAGAAACATTTCTTATCATTATCAATGTTGAAAACAGTGGTGGTGTTGATTTTTTTAATGTAAACCTTGATGTTTATTTCAGGATTCTTTGATGCATAGATGATGCAAAGAGAGCAGAAGAAGAAGAGTCTATTTGACATAAATCTTTTGTAAAATTAGAAATGTCATAATTGTCACTTTTGATCAGTTTAATGTGTATTAAACTAGTGTTTAATACACATTAAAGTATTCATTTCAGTAGAAAAAATCTTACTGACCCCACATTTTTAAACAGTGGTGTATTATATTGTAAATGTATAAGGCTATATGTTGTTGATCTTATTTGGGTATTGTTGATTCTCAAGACTGGAGCTATCAAGACCGCTGCAGTGGGCACAAGCATCCAGCCAGGTATTATCACATTACACAACGTTTACCTGTACTTGTTGATCCAGTTGTGAGTGCTGTTTATATAAGTGCTGATCTATGTATGTTTCTGTTTTAACTTCAGCAACAGCTACAGTAAGTGGAAATGTGATTGTAAACACTGTGCCTGGAGTTCTTCCTGGTCAGTTCCAGGCGAACAAACGTCTGGCGTCTCCTGTCATACCTGTGAGTTCTGATCTTACACAGATATATAGATTAGCAGCTGATTTGATTAGTCACAGCAGTGCCTGCAGTGTGACATGAAGTCCACATTGAAAGTGTAGAATACAATATATATTCAGTTTGATCTGTTATTTTGTTGTGAAATTGCTTTTCAACTGATTTGTACCATTCTGTCCTGTTTATGTGTGTTAAATATTTGTTTCCTCAAACAGACGGCAGGAACTGCCACGGCTCAGGTGGTTCACACTCAGCAGAGAACTGTGCCTGCAACAGCGGCCCCAGCGGAGGTTGTTGCCATTGCGACGGGTCAGAGCGTTAGAGCCGTTACCCCAGTGACCGCATCAGCTGTAGTGTCCACTAATCTGACTCCTGGTCAGTCCCAAACACGCACGCTGGTGGCTCCAGGTAGACCAAATGCCATCCTTAGAGAAGCCATGCGTGTTTTGGGTTCTCTGGTGGCAAAATCGATTCAGAGAGTCACACTTCCGCATTGTTTTTGTGTAATCATATCTAGCTGGATAATCTCCCATCATTGTATTCTTAATCCATTATTTTTGCTTCTCTAGCTCCCGGGATGCAGTTGTCTCAGGGTAAACCACTTACGCCAGCTCAATTCCAACAATTACAACTCAGACAACAGTTGCAGCAGCAGCAACAACCACCACAGGCTGCATCTCCACAGATCAAAGCAGTAGGAAAGCCACAGCAGGTACACACACTATTAGTATGGAGGATCCCATATTTGTTTTGCTTTTGCTTACCTATACTAAGGTATTAATATGGTGAAGGATGTCTAAATGCAGTTACAGTATTGCTCAATGTGTTTCTCAACCCGTGCTCCATGTTGTTTTTTGACATTTCCAGCGTTAGCCCTTATGTTTCCAACATTGGATTTAGATTTACGAGGTGACTGATTTCACTGTTGCTTACAGTGTTTAGTTCCTTTAGTCATGTTTTTAACTATTTCTGTATTTGTGAAAAATTATATAAAATGATTTGAAGTGTCAAAAGTATAAATTGTGTATAAAAAAATTATAAATGGTATTTTATAGGTTTATTTTTTCATCAAATTATTTTTATTGATTAGATTTTGAAATATTTCCATTCTAATAAATCTATCTAAATAAATGAAATTGCAGCAGCATTGGAGTGTAATGCCATGTATATCAGCTTTATATCTGCCATCAGCCACCCTACTCTCAGCATATTGTATCGTCCATCATAAAAAAGTTACATATTGACTTTATACATACATGTTAATGTTAACATTAGGTTAGTCATTAGTCATTACATTAGTCCCCAGAATGTGTCTGTGAAGTTTCAGCTCAAAATACCTCACAGATCATTTATTACATGATTTTGAAAATGCCTATTTTGAGTGGAAGCAGAAACACGTGGTTTTCATGCATGTATCTTTTAAATGCAAATGAGCTGCTGCTCCCCGCCCCCTTTTCCTGAATAGGTCTGTGCCTTTACAGCTTGTACCTCAGATACTGTCAAAAACATCTGTTTGGTTTTGATTATCATGTCTACCGCGCTGAAATTGTGTGTTTTAAAGCCATATCAGTTTAAACTTCTGATATACGATTTTCTGAGCTCACACATCCGAAGCACATGCACAGAAAATGGCTGTCACATGGCATGTGAGTACTAAATTAAGTTGTCTTTCATGTCTTATCGAGCTTAAACTGTGAAATACACACAAGTTTGTTAAAACACACGTAAGTTACAAAAACAGTAATTTATGTGTCTGTGAAGGTAAACAGCTGGGAAAGAAATCGCATTAGATCTGTTTTAAGTGATAGCAGCGTAATAGGCCTATATAGTATCTATACTGCTGTCTACACTGTTAATATGAGACAAACAATAAAATAAAAACGGAAAATCACTCACTGCTCTGAACTGAATAACTTCTGTAGCTTTAATAAGAAGACATGTCTTACTTTAGCGTGAAGATAAACATGGCAGATTGTGTGTGGCTCACTCAGGGTGGGGTCTCCGCTAATACAGCAGTGTCCGTCAACAGTGGTGCGTGGGGCTTGTAAAGTGCGATGTCACATTTTACAGATTTTGTGAATGTCTTGTTCCGAAACGCTACTTTTGATTTATGGGGATTTAAAAAAAAAGGATTTTTATAATTATAGGGTGGTTGTGTATACAAACTGCCAACACACATTTATGTTCAAACAACATGTAAACTTGAATTTTGCATAATAGGTGACCTTAAATGTTTCAGCAGCTAAAAAATCACTTTCATTTTATTTTGAAAAGTGGCCAAAAACAAAGAAAAAGCTTTCTCAATAAAGCCATTAGTCTGTTGTTCTTTAGAGAGATAAAAGCTATTTCATGCATGAGGGCTTTACATAAATCATTAGACAAGAGAATGAAAGAAACCTCTGTCTGAAGTGTTGTTGTTGTCAGAATAGCTTGATCGTAGGTTTAATGAGCAGTTACCTACGAGCCAGTCACACCTACAGAAAACATTCAGTTAAACCACCTGAATCGTAATAAACTTACCGCCTCAATGCAGAAAGTCAGCGCAAATCTCGGGGAGTTTGAAAAATATAGTGATTAGTAGTCATTTGTAAATATCTGCTTATCTCTATGTTCTCTCCAGGAGTTGTTTAAGAAGCAGAAGCTGCAGATGGCCCATCAGCAGGTTGCGGCGGCGGTAGCTGCAGCTCAAGGTCAGCAGGCTTCGTCTACTCAGCAACCGCAGCAGGTTAACACCACACCGGCAGCTACGTCCAACCCTCAGATAGCTGCAGTCGCTACGCCCAGAGCAGGAGCTGTGCTTGCTGGAAATACCGTCACCAACTTACAGGTGACCAGACTGGTAAGCACATACATACACACCCAGATTAACCCTTTCACATACACTTGAATGCACATTAACTCTTTATATGCCTTTTCATTCAGACACGTGTCCCAGCCCCTGGACCCATTCAGGCTCAGCAGGGTCATAACGCTCAGGTGACTCTGACCAAACCACCTCCTGTCGTCTCAGTTCCTGCTGTGGTTTCGTCCGCCGGAGTCACGACTCTTCCGGTCACTGTGGCTGGCATTAGCGTTGCCATTGGGCAAGCACAGAAAGCAGGTACAGACTGAAATGAGTAGACTGACTAGTCCGTTCCACTAGACTCTAGCAGTGTCGTTACACATTACACATCTCCTCTGGAATCAAACAAATCTAAATAGAAATTAACAAAACATAATAAAAGCATAACGTAAAAGCTAATTCAAAATAGTAATAAATAATATAATAGTATATACTGATGATTAGATTAGTCATGGCTTCGTAAGTGCTTATTTTGTACCTATTATTCCATATATTTGGAATTTGGTGAATGTCAAAGGTGATGCCAGAGTTCCCAAGTAGGGCTGCACGATATTCATCAAAATAAAATCAATGGAGCAATATGGCTTTCTGTGATTTATCAAATTGCACAGGCTGTGATTTGATTAAATTAATATATAAACACTTAACTGGTTTCAAACTTGCTATTTATGCGTTTAATTTGTCAAAAAAAGTGGGCATGTGGCCTGTGAATCTCTAAGGGATTAGACATTTCACTAACTTATTGTGAAGCACCCTAAACCTAATCAATTATCAGACAGAGGCTTACAAAGACTGTAGTGAATGGTGAAAGACTGTTTATTGCAGCATTTCTGACCATGAATCAACAGTGGAGAGGCTTGCTTTCTTTACTCGCCTACATCGTTTCCGTGTCAGTAACAACCCTTTAGGGGCTCTTGTAGACTGAAGCGTGTGTGTTTTTGTGCAGGTGGTCAAGTGGTGACACACCCGTTCCAGGTGCAGCAGGTTCAGCAGCTGTTGCACAGACAAAAACAGCAGGCAGCCGCACAAGCCGCTGCGGTCCAGAAGGCAGCACAGCCACAGCAAACACAGGCTGCGATACAGCAAAAGGTACCAATCAGCCAATGTGATTTATTTTTTAATGAAGCATTATTTGTGTAAATGTGTCTTCAACCCTTCTCTCCTTTCTCTCTTTATCTCTCTGTTCAGCTGGGCACGCAGCAGGCCGCTCAGACCACAGCCCAACAGCAGCAGAAAGTATACACCGCCACCACTCCACTTCAGCCCGCCATTAAGACCCAGTTCTTCGCCACCTCCATCGGACAGCCACAGAAACCTCCTGCAGCACAGCAGATACAGGTAAGAAGTTAGGCTCTAACAGCCAGCACCTCTCTAGCACGCGCTCAAGTGCAAAGCCTGACATGTGGTGTGATCAGAATGCAAGTATTTTGATGTGCAGTTCCATGTAGGGGTGTGCGATATATATTGTCTGCGATAATATCATAATTGTTGTTTTAACTTTGTGTGATTTTTGACATTATCGAGTATTCTACATTCAAAACACCCCTACACTGTGCACGCATATATTACGTGAAGTCTAGACTAATGCGCGTGTGCATTTATAGTATGTTCTTTCACTGCATGATTCAGTCTATTAAAATACATTTAGAATGATCACAAAATTCAAGATATGGGGACAGAAAATGTATATATTTATATCATTTCATATAGTTAATCAATATCATACAAAGAGTGCCGTTTTGTTCTCCAAAAATTACCATGATTACAAATGTAATATTGATTGATAAAATTTTTTTTTTTACAACAGTTCAAGAAACAAGAAGTTAATTAAGAGACTTGCGTTTTAGATACCATATTGCCTGTTTTTGCGCTATTTCGACAACATAAATAATTCCAAACACAGCCACAACCACAACGCTGCTTTGCGTCTCTGAGCAACATGACAGCTTTTCATTCCTGAATGAATCAATGGTTTAAATGGTTCGGTTCAATCGCAATGACTCACTTATTAACAATGACTTGCTGCCACCTGCTGGTGGTTTTAGGCCATGTCCACACGTACACGGGTATTTTTATAAACTTAGTTTTTCCTTTTTTTTTTTTTTTTTTAAATCACTGTCAAGAGCATGCCAAACCAACAGGTGGCGATATAATCTCAACCATAAAGCCATGTTGGCCAATCAGAAGCCTGAAAAAGTCTCCAGTAGGCGGAGATAACAGCGCAGGCTCCGACGTCACAAGCCAAAAACTCCAGTTTTGCTGTCTACACAATAATACTGCAAACAGAGTTTTTGAAAATCTTCACCCTGGCAGGCGTTAATTTCACATTGAATGTTTATTTTTGTTATTTAAATAATTCCAAATAATAGTATATAAGGTAATATAGCAAAACATTATTTATGCATTTGTAACTGCAGGTTAAATCATTACATGTCCCTCTGAGCTGCATTAAACAGTGTGTAAATACATCTAAATGCTACTTCAGATGCAGCTTCTGTTTCCTCTGCATTGCAGATTAATTTTATTGATATTGATTTAATTTGCTTGGTAACAGCCCAAAGGTCTTATTATTCTAATTCATTGATTAAATGTAAGAATTTGGCTCAAACGATAATGGCTTTATAAAGGTAAAAATGCCCATAAAAGGTAAAAAAATCTATTTAAACTTATTGGGAAAGATTAATTTCTATCAGTGTGAACTGACCACCACACAGAATATGAAGAATATCAAAAACTTCAGGAGTCAGCTATCCATAGTAGTCCTTAGAATACCAGGACATAACACGCAAAATATTGTCTAGTTATCGATAAAATCCCTGAAAATATCGAGAATTTTTTTTTTCTCTTCAATATCGTACACCCCTAGTGTCATGTAGTGCTTTATGTGTGTGGTATTAGTGCCCAGCTCGGCTTTGTAGTGATTTTCCCTTCTGCTTGTAGGTCACTAAGATTCCTCAAATAGTTCAGCAGCAGATAGTATCCTCACCTCAACAGGTAAGTGTTTTAGTGTTGTGCTTTGTGTTTGATTGCTTAAATTTATTTGGTGCTTTTTTAGTGAACATGAAGTCAAAAATGACCTTGTTTCCTTTCTTTGTGTTTGTTCCTGATTTCGTTGCACCTCTGAAATTACTTGCCTTTTTCGCTGATTGGTTTTTGTTTGTTTTTTTATTTTTTTTAATATAATTAACGTACACTAGAGTTCAAATATTTGGGGTCAGTAAGATTTTAAAGACTTTTATACTTTTATTTGGCAAGGATGCATTAAACTGAACAAAAGAGTCAGTAAAGACATTTATAATGTTACGGAAGATAACTATTTCAAGAAAATGCTGTTCTCTTTAAATTTTTATTCATGAAATAATACTAAAAATGTATACAAAATATATATTGCCACAAAATAATCAAGCAGCACAACTGTTTTAAACACTAATAATAATCAAATCTCGCAAATCAGCATATTAGAATGAAGGATCATGCGACACTGAAGAATGAAATAATGGCTGCTGTAAATTCAGCTTTGCATCACAACGTTAAATTATATTTTAAAATATATTAAAATAGAAAACAGGGTAACACTTTAAGGTGTCCTTGTTACACGTTACATGTACTTACTATTATAATAAAAATAAATTATGCATAATTACATGCAAGTAACTCTAAACCAAACCCGAATCCTAACCCTAACCATATACTAAGTACATGTAGTTAATAAATATTACTCAGTACTTAAATGTATAATTACACTGGAACAAGGACACCTTAAAATAAAGTGTAACCAAAAACAGTTATGTTAAATTGTAATATTTCACAATATTATTATATATTACTAAGACTACATTTAACTGATCCAAAAAAAAATATATGTGTATGTGTGTGTGTATATATATATATATATATATATATATATACAAACACACACATTTAAAGGGGTCCTATTATGCTTTTTCAACTTTAGTTAGTCTGTAATGTTGCTGTTTGAGCATAAAAAAGATCTGCAAAGTTACAAAGCTCAAAGTCCACTTCAAAAGGAGATATTTTATTTAACAGAAATCACTTTTCAAAAACTACAACAGAGCCTGTTCTAGTACACCCCCAAAACAAAATCAAGACTTTGTAAAAGAGCATAATAGGACCCCTTTAAAAGGATATTTCACCCAAAAATGAAAATTTGATGTTTATCTGCTTACCCCCAGGGCATCTAAGATGTAGGTGACTTTGTTTCTTCAGTAGAACACATATGATGATTTTTAACACAAACCGTTGCAGTCTGTCAGTCATATAATGCATGGTAATGGTAACAAAATCTATGAGAGTAAAAAAACATGCACAGACAAATCCAAATTAAACCCTGCGGCCCTGTGTACGGGCTCTGGCGTAGTTTACGTTAAAGGGTGTGTTGATATCCAGCCGAAGAGCAATCAACCATAACTTCAGGCGAGCAGGCTCAGAAGTTGGGAATACGTGGAAAGTCACCACTCCCAAATGATTTCGCGCGAGAGAACGTAATCGTTTAGTTTTAAGTCGGTTTGAACAATCCGGATAAGCGCAAGTAAGTACCATTTTGATTAGCCGTCGTACCTACAATGACTGTGCACTGTGTAAACAATGAGTGACGTATACTCGTGAGAGATCACTTCCGGCGCTTACGTAAACTACGCCAGAGCGTGTACACGCCTCACGCACAGGATGCCGTGCGCGCGCCCAAAGACAGTTGGACATAGTGGTGTATTAGAGGTAAAAAATTATATAAATACTGTTCGGTTTCTGGCACAAACCGATCGTTTCGTGTCTTAGGACATCAATGTGTCGTCACGAGCCGCAGGGTTTAATTTGGATTTGTCTGTGCATGTTTTTTTTACACTCATAAATTTTGTTACAATAATTGCCATGCATTATACGACTGATAGACTGCAACGGTTAAAGTTAAAAATCATCATATGTGTTCTACTGAAGAAACAAAGTCACCCACATCTTGGATGCCCTGGGGGTAAGCAGATAAACATCAAATTTTCATTTTTGGGTGAACTATCCCTTTAATACTAATACTATATTTACACTTTTATCCCAGTTATATCAGATTCTTCTAATATTTTTACTTACATTACTTTACATTACATTACATTACTTACATTACTTTACTTATCTTTACTTTTTATTAATATTATTATTTTCATGCAATCCTAGTTCTTTGATTATTACAAGTTATTGCAACTCCTGATTCTGACAGCTGAATTGATTTTGTGTGTGTAGATCCAGGCTCAGCCTCAGACAGTGGCCCTGACGCAGGCAGGACCCACAGCAGGTTCAGCACAGGCCCAGGTGCAGGTCATCCCCACAGCCACCGCCACAACCACACAGGTGGTGCAACAGAAGCTCCTCCAGCAGCAGGTTGTTACGGCAGCAGCCTCCCCTCAAATCCAGACCCCGCCGCCACACAGTCCGGCCCAGCAGCAGAGCGCCGCGGCCGCCACCGCCTCAGAGTCTCCAGCGCAGCAGGCCGCTGCCACCCCACAGCCCCAGCAGGGCAAAGGAAACACCCGCACTGGTACTGCCATGCGCTCCAAAACCCCTGCCAAACCCAGCGGTGGCAGCTAGAGAGTGATCGGAGGAGAAGGTACTTGGGCATAACATAGGGCTGTTTTTTTCCCTGCATTTTTTTTGGAAAGACTGACCCTTTGTAATACAGGAACTCACCATTGACAGTCTGGATTGAGCATTTTACAATTTGAAGCAACACTCCTAAGCGCTAACCACGTCTCATGTTAATCAAACATCATTCTGCCAACGGACTGTATGGCCAATCCTTTCCTTTTTTTTTTTTTTACAGATTATTTACTGAAGCTCCTTCCTCAGGAGTCGAGCATGACTTTAAAACAGTATGACGGCTCGTTTTCATATTGAACTCTTTACTGAGCCACTAAATGCTTGCTGTACTTTTTCTACCATGCTACGTGCTCTGTTTATACAGTGTTTAACATGTCATCCTTCAGGTCATGGATCAAGTGCGTTTGGATCACAACAGCCATCAGCTTCATCACTTCAACACTTCATTTGGCGTGCCAGGAACTCTTTTGGCAGGTCATCTCAACATTATTCATAATGTTCAATAAGTCAAATTATATCTGTGTCCCCCCAATGTTTTTTAATAGGTGTGGTGGTGTTGTCCCTTTGCGGTTTGTGTCAGTAAATATCCTTTTATTTAAGCATTTAATGACGATAATCAAGATTAGCAAGGCTCGGTTAACCAAACTCATCCTTTTGGGATGTAGAAATGGCAAACTACCTTCAGTTCGATATATGTGACCCATTCAAAAGCTCCCTCTCTGTAGAAGAATTGAATATATTAGCTTGTATCATGAAACCCACCTAAAACTAATTCTTGTCACCGTATACACAAATTCAGCTGCATGGATGGATACCATCTGAAAACTCAAGTGACGTGTACTTGTGTGTGAAATGTTTGTGTTAAGTGGTACAACAATTCAGAGTGTGATTTAACAGTAAAGTAATAGAAAACCATCCCGTGCTGTAGCCAATTCATGGTAGCGGCAGCTGTGGGAAGTATCGCCCTCCCAACTTCAATTTGGAAGAAATGTCATCGCTGAAAACACATCTGTGAAATATTTCCGTTTTTCTTATGCATAGTTATGAACAATGTCACCATTAGTCAGTTGACACAGACCTCAGCTTGGCTGTTAGTGTGTTTACATTGGCCTGCTATCTTAAATCAAGACTTTCCCTCTCTGTATCTAAATCATATAATGTCAGGGCTTTCAGTCATAAATACGTCTTTTTGTATTGATGTTGGGTCAGGAACACATGTAAATAACTCGGGAGGGAGACAACAGCATTTGTATTTGTAAAGTAGTTGTGTATTCATTTAATTTTTTTTTCAGCCTACTTGTATAAAGTGTTATGTTTTTACACACGTCTGGCTTATGCTGTCTTTATTTGTCCGGATGCGTATTTGTATTTTATTCGGTAAGCTGTCTTAGACGGGTATCGGATTACATTAAGTCAGCGGTTCTGCCTGGAGTCCATAGATATGCATTCCTGTATGTCTGTGTGTGGACTTGCTGAGTGTCAGCACACTGGCCAACAGGGATTTCAGCAAGATAACGCATTGAATCTTGCCTGCTCAATACAAAAACACCTTTTACTCCAGCAGCAGTGGTTCTCATCTTTAGCAGTATGTTATACTGATTGCAGCCACAATCATGGTCATTTTTTCCTGTTTAAAAAGCTTACAAAAAGATCTTCCAGTAGTGACCTAATGAAGGAATGTTTGGTACTGCAAGGTGAAGTTTGTACAAGCTTCGATTTGACTAGTGTTCATATCTTGGGTAATCCATAGGGGGGCGCTCTTTTCATGTTCTGTTTTTGTGATCATAGCTGGTCTATTGCAGATTGGAGCAAAGCAGTAGTGTTTGCAAATTAAACATCACTATTAGTTTTGTTTATGGTCAGGGATTAGGACGAGACCTTAATTTAACTCCTCTCGCACCGTTTGTGCTATGGACGATGCCTCAAATCATATTGCTTCCTGAGAAGAGGGTATGTTATTCCTTTCCCAAGTAATTAGACATAATATCTGATTTTTAGTAATCAAATAGCAACACACTGGCAACTGCACAGCAATTCCCTTAAATTGTGAAAGCAACTTTTGCAATGCAAAACATAAACCTGTATTGAATTACTGTATAGTGTAATTCTACCTGTATATTATAAAAAAAAAATTGTAGTCCATTACAGTGTAAATTAATGGTCAATAAAATTGTTTGGTTACCAACATTCTTCAAAATATCTTCTGTGTCTGCATAAAAGTGGTCACATTAGTGAAAAAAGCTACATTGTCTGCTGTCGACAGTGTAGTAAAGCACAAGGCACCACATGCACACTCATTAATTTTTTTTCTTTGCGCATAAGAAGTATTCTCATAGCCTCATAAAATTATGGTTGAACCACTGTTGTCACATGGACTATTTTAACAATGTCTTTACTACCTTTCTGGGCCTTGAACGTGTCGGTTGCGTTGCTGTCAATGCAGGGTCAGAAAGCTCTCGGATTTCATCAGAAATATTTTAATTTGTGTTCTGAAGATGAATGAAGGTCTTACAGGTTTAGAACAACATGAGGGTGAGTAATTAATGACAGATTTTTCATTTTTGGATGAACTATCGCTTAAAGTCCCTTTAAAACTAATCAGCTTTCTGTTGCAAATTCATGTGAAACTTTGAATCCAATGTTAAAGGGATAGTTCACCCAAAAATGAAAATTCTGTCATTAATTACTCACTTTCATGTCGTTTCAAACCCATAAGACCTTCGTTCATCTTCGGAAGTAAAGTCAAGTCACCTTTATTTATATAGCGCTTTTAACAATACAGATTGTGTCAAAGCAACTGAACAGCATTAATTAGGAAAATAGTGTCAATAATGCAAAATGACAATAGTAAACACTCATTTTTCAGTTAAATACAGTTCATCATTCAATTCAGTGATGTCATCATCCATCTCAGTTCAGTTTAAATAGTATCTTTGCAATCATTTGCAATCAAGTTTACGATATCGCTGGAAATGAAGTGTCCCCAACTAAGCAAGCCAGAGGCGACAGCGGCAAGGAACCAAAACTCCATCGGTGACAGAATGGAGAAAAAAACCTTGGGAGAAACCAGGCTCAGTCGGGGGGCCAGTTCTCCTCTGACCAGACAAAACCAGCAGTTCAATTCCAGGCTGCAGCAAAGTCA